GGACCGCCAGCGCGATGGAGGGGCTGGATGCCGCGACTGCGGTCCTCGGGGAGACCTTGGGCTCCGCGGCGATCATCCCCTTGCATTGAACGGTGGCGACGCCGATGAGGTCGCTGATGACCTGCTCGGGCTCGCCCTCGGCCCTGGCCACCGCGTCGTCGACGAAGGTCCGCAGGCACAATTGCGGCGCGCGCGCAGCAAGATGGGGCCGAGGAAAACTTTCGCAAGCTTGCCTCCGCGGCTGCTGCCCGCGACGATGGGCCTCTGGGGGTCGATTCTGTCGCTCTCCCAACCGCGCGTGCGGAGGCACCTCGGCGACGTGAAAGGCGCGGAGCAAGCATCACGCTTGCTCCACGCTTTCGGGATGGCGAGGGGCATGCCGAGGGCGCGCTCGCCCCCCGCTGGCTCGGGGGGCATGGGCCCAACGGTGGCGCAGAACTGCTGCGGCCGCGGCCCGTCGTCCTCCACCTCGTCGTAGATGTTGGCGAGCTGCTTGATGCCCTGGCTGGGATGCCTCTGAATGTCGACGGGGCCGATGCTGTCAACGCCCCATGGCCTTCTTGGGGTTGGCGGTGTTGGCGACGGCGTGCGCGCGCTGCACCTCCATGGGGGGGAGCGGGTCCTCCTTGGCGAGGCGCATGGCGCTCTCGTTCGCGGCGATGATCTGCTTCTGGTCGCAGGAACGGGTTTTCCATATATCCCCTCAGTCGCCGGCTGCGGCGTTCCCGCGGGGATCGACGACGGCGCGGCGTAGCTTGCCAGGTACCTCATTCCAGGCCTCCTTGGCCCAGTCAAGGTAATGCTTGCGCGCTCTGCCTGCAGCTCTCGCCATCGGCCCATCGGTCCATCGTTGGGTCGTCGCGCAGGTGGGGGGGGTCGTCGTCTTCGAAGAACCCGATGGAGGCGATCCGGAGCTTCCACTCTTCAGCTTCTATCACCTGCGGGTCGGTCTTGGAGCCGAAGTGGTTATTCTGGAGATCTGGGTCCTCGAGCTGGTCGATCTTCTGGTTCGTGGCGCTGCGGATCTGCCCCTCGGCCTCGAGGTCCTTCTGGTTCTTGGCGAGGGTGGCGTGGAGCATGATGAGGGCGCTGCAAAGCTGCCACCAAGCCGCCTCCGGGTCCTCGAGGCATGCGCGCCCAGGTGAGGCCCTCATGGTCTGCCTCGCCGTCTTGTACCACTCGGCCCTCCCCCGGTACCTGGCCCTCCTCTCGTCGGGAGTGTCGTGGGTCTCCAGGAGCGCGATCTCGAGGGTCGCGACCCAATTGGCATAGGTGCCGTTCATCTCCGCTGCCCTGCTCCGCACGCGCCGGTTGAAGACGCGCCCTCGGCCCCCCTGGGCGCCCGCGAGGTGGCCCTGTAATCTCGGGCAATTGCCCGCTGCTTCGTCGGCCGGCCCCGGGGTCAGGCTCCACGGTGTCCTCGTTGTTGTGTCCGGCTTCGAACTCGCCGCGCAGATGCCCAGGTGGCCCATCGCTCCTGGTTCGCGAGGCATTTGCCCGGGCCTTCGACCTTTTGCCATCGGGGTTGTCAACCTTTCTTGGCCTGGCTCTGGAAAGGGGAGGCTTTGCGAACGTTTGTAGCTCTATGGTTCCAAGGCTCGGCGGCGCCCGCGGCGACGTGGGCGCCGCGGACGGTCCGCCACGGGGCGCCATAGACTCCCTTCACGTCGATGTGCGCGGCGAGGTCTGCTCGCGCGATGGCGCAGTCGCATGCGGAGCCCGAGCCCTTGTCGCGCGTGGCCTTGCGCTCCGCGTCGGCAAGGATAGCGCCGTTCAACTTGGTGAGCCACTGCTTGCCGCCACACCTATGCGCCTCGTAGATCCAGTCGGCGAGGATGACCCAGGGGTCGCCGAGCATCTCCAAGAAGGTGGAGATGGAGATGAGAACGCCCCCGTTCGCGCCCTGGTCGCGAAGCCCGGGCCGCAGGTATGCCGCGACAACCGCGATGTCGCCGCTCTCCGCGCGCAAGATGGAGGGCGTGCAGCCCGCGAGCGGTTGCCCCGTGCAGCGCTTGAAGTAATAATCCCTGTGGGCCTCGAAAGCGGTGGCTGCGATGTCCTTCCGCAGAGGGGCCCGCTCGCCGCCGTGCGTCCCTTTGTCCGACTTGTGAGTCGGCGTAGCCGGTGTGGCCGCGAGCTTCTAGCCGTCCATGGCGGGCTTCCCGACATGGTCCTGGATGCCCTTCGCGTCCATGTGGGCCTCCGCAGGCGCGATGAGGTGGCAACGGCTGCCGATGGCGCGGCAGTGATTGGCGGCCTGCGGCCCCCATTCGGTGATGTTGCCGAAGAGGATATGGGCCTTGGCGTAGTTGATGGGTCCACCCAGGCTGCTGCGACCCCTCTGCGGCCGTGGCTGGCCGCTGCTTGGCCTCGCCTCTGCCTCCGCCCCTGACCGCGCGTGCCATCTCGTTGGCCCTGGAGGCGGTCTCGATGAGGGCGGCGGCAACCTTCCTATCAGCTCGGGTGCGGTTGCTGGGCGGGAGGTCAGCGGCTTGCTGGGCGGGAGCGTCGGCAGCAGGTCCAGCAGGTGCAGCGGCTGCAGGTGGTGGTTCGGGTTCTTGTGGCTGCTGCTGTTGCTGCCCTTCTGGAGGAGGGGAACCACCAACGGCAGACGCCGCAGCTGATGGGTCACCAGCGGCGGCGGCTCTTGCGCTTGGCGAGGTTGTTCGCGGACTCCGTGGCCTTGCGCAGGATCTCGAGGACGTGCCCCTGGCCATCGCTGAGGGCCTTTACGCGTTGGTCGACATTCCGCTTCCACTCCTCCATCTGGGCCCTAGTGGTGTCGTTGTAGAAGGTGTGGTCCTCCAGGATTGTGCTGTCGACTGCGAGTGTGTCTGGCGACCCTGGTGCTGCAGCTCCTCGCGCGGTTGCTCCAGCAAGTTTGGCTCTGTGATGTTCCTGTGCCTTGGCGCGGGCGTTCTGGGCCTGGACGAGGTCAACGGCGGCTTGCTCTTGACGTGCGTTGTTGTCGTTGAGCCACTGCTGCGCCTCGGCGAAGCCACTGTTGCGCCTCGGCGACCTCGTCAACGGTTTGCTGGAACTTGTTTTTCCCTGTCGGTGAGGACCTTTTTGAGAGCGGCGACTGGAGTGCCTGCTCCGCTGTGCGCGCAGGCTTCAGCTTGGCTGGGTCTTGGAGAGCCTCCTTGATCTGTCCGACGAGATCGCCGTGTCTCTCGTCGCTGGGGAGGGTCTAGAGTGCTCCGATGATGGCGCCCTTGCTGGGAAGCCCTGCCCCAGCAGCTTGCTCGGGTGCATGCCAAGGCGGCTTGGTGCTGCGAGCCCACGCACCCACTGGCTGGCTTGGCTCGGCTGGAGACGGTGCGCGGGACTTGCCGCACATTTAGCACTCTGACTTCCCCTTTCCAGGTCCATCGGTACCGTCGTTGCCTACAGGTGGTGTGCTGGTGCAAATGCTGTTTGTCACCAGACCGTCCACGTCGAGACTGTGGGCTCGCTGCTGCTGCTGCTGCTGCACCGCCCTCTGCGCCACGGCTGCCCGCCATTGCGCCGACTGTGGGGGTGCGCCCTCGACTGGGGCCGTCTTGCAGGGATTGGGCGGCAGCTCGCTTCTGGGAGCAGCTGCGAGCCATGAGGTGGGCGGCAGCTCGCCCCTGGTTGTGGCTGCGAACGAGGAGTTGGGCGGTAGCTCGCTCCTGGGTGCGAGCGAGGGTCGCTGAACGCAGTGGGAGCCGACCCCACTTAGGCAGTAATGGACACCACTTTGGCCTCGAGCCAGCATGGCTACGGAAAGGAGGTGGGGAAGGAGACACAGGCGGACGGGGAGGAGGAAGGAGGGAGGGAAGACGTCGCTAGCCTCGGGGAGGAGAGCTCGAGAAGAGCACGACCCGTTGCCTCAAAGTGTGTGTGTGTTACCCACACAGGGTGAAGATCACGAGGGCTCGCGGCAAGTATTCATGGTCCAAGGCCTGCTCCCGCCCCAATGATGCGAATGGGTTCGACCCACCTCTTCCTTCCCCCTCCCGATGGGTCCCCCCCTGTGGGTGTGGGGTGGTGCCGCGGTCACGCAGTCGTCGCGGTAGTGATGGTGGTCATCGTCATCCTGGTCGTCGCCGTCGTCGTCGACGTCGTCAAGGGCCGAAGACCTCCTGAATGGGGGGCGGGGCACGCTTTCGCTCCGGAAAGTCGTTTGCTGCGTCATTGAGGCGGGCATGCCGACAGTGGAGGAGGAGGAGGAGGTAGGAGGAGGGGAGGAGGAGGAGGAGGAGGAGCGGGGGGAGGAGGAGGAGGGGGAGGAGGAGGAGGGGGAGAGAGGAGGAGGAGGAGGAGGAGGAGGAGGAGGAGGAGGAGGAGGAGGATGGAGATCTGGCTCACCCTTGGGGCCGGGCTGCCCAGGCGTGCCAGCCTACGCTGGGCCGCTGCACGGAAGCCCTGCGGGAGCTCGCGGACGCGGCGCGCCGCGAGGGGGGTCCCAATCCGACCACGGCTGCGGGGGCTACCTCCTCCTCCTCTCTCTCCTCCTCCTCTCCTCCCTCCTCCTCCTCCCCCTCTCCTCCTTCCTCCTCCTCCCTCCTCTCCTCCTCCTCCTCCTCCTCCTCCTCCTCCTACTCCTCCTCCTACCTCCTCCTCCTCCTCCTCCTCCCCCTCCTCCTCCTCCTCCTCCTCCCTCCTCACTCTCCTCCTCCCTCCTCCTCCTCCTCCTCCTCCTCCTCCTCCTCCTCCTCCTCCTCTTCAGCCGAAGCCTCGTCGTCCGCAGCGGCAGGCGCGCCAGGTGCCTCCGACCCAGGCCCCTGGCGTCACGATTTTGTCCATGCTCGTCGACCCCCCATATAGGCCTCGACCCACTCCTCGTGACCCGTTCTCGACACACTCTCGACCCAGGCCTCGATCCTGTCGTTTTCGGACGTTCCCGAGGCCTGGCGAGGGCCCCCCAGCGGCCGAAAAGACCCCCCAAACCTTCCGTCTGGAGCTCGCCATGACTCGAGGGGGGTCCGGGCACGCGCGCCGCCGAACGGCGTTTTATATCTCACCCGGCGCGGGTCCTGCTGCGAGCTCGCTTCTGCAGGGCGACGGGCGTCACGTCCGTGGCGGTGCTCGGGCGGGGGGGGCCTGGAGGCCCGCCGGGCCCGTGCTCGCACTCGGCCCAGACCTGGGCGAGAGGAGCTGGCGGGAACGGAAGCAGGACGAGGAAGGCTACGTAATATATGTGGAGGGTTAAGAAGAAGAGGAGGAGGATGAGAAGGAGGAGAAGGATCAAAAAGAGAGGAGAGGAGGAGGAGGAGGAGGAGGAGGAGGAGGAGAAGAGGAGGAAGAGGAGGACAATAGGGTGTATGGGGATGTGGAGGATTCAGAAGAGAGGAGAGGACGAGGAGGACGAGAAGGAGGAGGAGGAGGAGGACTCTGAAGGGAAGAGGAGGAGGAGGAGGAGGAGGAGGAGGAGGAGGAGGAGGAGGAGGAGGAGGAAAACAAGAGGGTGTAGGGGGAAAAGAGAAGTAGGGATCGGAGGAAATAACATCGAGGAGGAGGGGGAAGAAAAATCCGCCGACCCTGTCGGCGTGTGTGAGGGGCTTGTCCGTTCAAGTCGTCATCTCCGTCATTCGTTCGTCGTCGTCTCTGTCGTTCCCTTTCCCTGCCTCCCCCCTTTCCCTGGACTCGTCGAAGCTCCCCCCTTTCCCAGGGACCTCCTCAGCGCGCCAGCCAAAGCGAAGTTGAGCAACGTCGTAATTGAGTCGAAGGGAAGCCCCTTCCCTTCGATCCCTCCCCCGCCGGGGGGGGGAAGGGGGGGGAGGTCCCGGGAGGATAAAAGTCAGATGCGACGCCCCCCCTGGGAGCCCCGGAGCCCAAAAAAGCCCCAAGACGGGCCAAAAGTGCCCCAAGAGGCCCCAAAGACAGTCCAAGAGAACCCCCGAACGATCTGTCCAAGACGCCTTGACGGCCTCCAGACGGCCCCAGAGGCTTGCAAAGCGCCCCAAAAGGCCTCCAGGAGCTTTCCCACGAGAGCCCCAAGAGGCAAAATTCATTGTTCTCCCTACGTTTTTGAAGGAGTTTGGCGTTCTTGCCTCTTCCGCTTCCCGACGCGCCAAGACGGCCCAAGAGGCCCCCGAGACGGCCCAAGACGCCTCCAAGACGGCCCCCAAGACGGCTCCATGAGAGTGCCCAGACGGGGGCCCCCCCGAACGGACGCTTCGAACTCTCAACCCCAAGAGGCCCCCAAGAGGCCCCCAAGAGGCCCCGAAGAAGCCCCAAGAGGCCCCAAGAGGCTCCCAAGGGGCCCCGAAACTGCCCCACGACAGCCCAGGGGAGCCCCAACTTGCCCAGGAGGCCTCCAAGAGTGCCTCGAGACGGCGAAAGAGGTGCCCTGGACGGCCCAAGACGGCCTCAAGAGAGCCCCAGGCTGTCCCAAGAAAGCCTCTCCTCTTCCTCCTCTCCTCCTCCTCCTCCTCCTCCTCCTCCCTCCTCCTCCCCTCCCCTCCTCATCCTCCTCCTCCTCATCCTCCTCCTCTCCGCTCCTCCTCCTCCTCCCTTTTCCTCCTCCTCCTCTCATCCTCCTACCTCCCTCCCTTCCTCCTCCTCCCCTCTGCTCCCCTTCCTCCTGCTCTCCTTGCCTCCTTCTCCTCCTCTGCTTCTCCTCCACAGCCTTCTCCCCCCTCCTCCTCCCTCATCCACCTCCTCCACCCTTCCTCCACATTCCACTCATCCTCCTCCCCCTGCCCCCCCCTCGTTTTCATCTTCGTCGTTCTCAGGGTCGGCGGCACTGGCCGTACGGCCTTCGCGATAACTGGCTGGCCCCATGGGCAAGAGGCGTGCTAAAATCTCTTGTAAGAGGTTCCTAATTTGGCGGCGCGCACACGGGGGTGGGGGGAGGGGGAAGGCTTCTTAGAAGGAGGCTGCTTCTTAGAAGGCGCCGGCCTTACATCTACAAAGAAGGCCCGCCCCTTCTAAGAAGCAGGGTGTTTCTAAGAAGCCTTCCCCCCTCCCCCTACCCCCCTCTGCGCGTGGCCAGCTAATACTTCTACACGATTCGCGCGCGCGTGGCGGCCCCTGGGGACGAAAATGCACCAGGCAAGCCCCGGCAGGGTCCTCCTCCTCCTCCTCCTCCTCCTCCTCCTCCTCCTCCTCCCCCCCCCCTCTGCTCCCCCTCCTCCTGCTCTCCTCTGCCTCGGATGCCGAGCTCCTAAGCGCGGCCCTGGGGCCCCCAGTGCACCCCCGAGGAGGCGCCAAGTAGGCGGCAGGCCCCACGGCCGCAGGCCAAGAGCGCCCCAGGACGGCTTCCAAGACGACCCAAGAGGCGCAACAGGACGGCGCAAGAGGGCTCCAGCACGACCCGAAGAGGGCCCCACGAGGCAAATCTAATTTTGATGTAGCCCTCGGTGATCGAAGGACTTTGAAGGACTCTGGCGCTACCGCCTGTGCGGTTCGCCGACCGCCCAGGACGGGCCAGGAGGCCGCCACGACCGCCACAAGTCAGCCCAAGAGGCTCCCAGGAGGGTCCCCAAGGAGGGTCCCCAGACGGCCCTGAAGGGCCAAGCGGCCTCCCACGAGAACTGCCAGAGGCCGCGGAGCAGGCTCCACACTGTTGGAGGCCTGGAAATTGGCACCAACACCAACACAGGGGGGATGCCTCCACAGGGGGAAGATGATCCTAGATTTCTGTGTTGGTGGTAACATTTCGGTCACCTTGGAAGCCAGAATATTACGACCACCACCGAGATCGGGATCTTCTTCCCTCGGTGGAGGCACACCGCCGATATTGGTGTTGGTGTCAACTTCTAGGCTTGCGACACTGGGGGACCGAAATTCACATGTCGAGCCCGCCCCGAAAGAGGGCGCCCAGGCCTGCCACCAGGCCCCCAGCAAAAACGCCGTTGAGAAGCCCCCGAGCAGCCTCTGAAGAGATCCCAAGAAGCCGCCCAGAGGGTCACCTGGTCCACTGCTAGGGGGCCACGTGCGAACCCCAACCCTACCCTCCACGACTTCTGCGGGGGAGGGTGGGGTTCACTTCGTTCGGGAGCTCCCGAGCGAAGTGAACCCCGCCCTCTCCCTCAGAAGTCGTGGGGGTAGGGGTAGGGTTCGCACGTGGCCCCCTAACTGCCTCCAAGAAACCCCCGAAGAGCCTTCCGAAGAGACCCCAAGAAACCTCGCGTGCCTCCCAAGCATCTCCCGTGGGACGCGAGCACGCGAGCACACTCCCAATGACTGCGACCAGACGAGCGGGCAGCAACGATGACACTGTACGGGCCAGCTGAATGAGCGAAAAGATGGCAATTCGGCGGGCCCGCCGCGGGCCCTGCCTGTGGTGGCCTTCGAGGACAGATGATGAGATGGAGGGTGTGATGGAGGAGAGGGGGAAGCACGCATAAGGCATGCCAAGAGGGGCTTCGCGCACTCCGCCAGCCCGAAGAAGACCCGAAGAGGACAGCCACAGGGCAGCTGCACCGCCGCTCCCCTTCCGACACGTGAAAAAATACGCGTGAAGATCTGCGCCCAGAGGCTCCTGGCGCACGCGAGAACACCTTTTGCGACGGCGGCGAAGCAAAAGAAGGCTGCGCAAAAGGGGGATGCCGCTAGGGCGAACTGTGCCACCATGCAAGAGGAGGAGAAGGAAGAGGGCGCGGCCGAAAGAGGGGGCGGGAGAATTTGCACGTGAAAACACGGGCGAGACGTGCTCAGATGGCCTCAGCTGGCCGTTTTGCTCGGGACATCCTCGACAAATCAGTTCGGAGAGGCCTTTGAATCTCAAAAGGTGTCGCTTCGCTCGGGGCATCCTTAACAACTCGGCTTCGGAGAGGACTCTGAATTTCAAAAATGGCAGGTTCGCTGGGGACTGCCTCGACAAATTCGCCGGCCCAACCGGCCAGGGCGTGCTAAGATCTCCGGTACCTGGTTAACAGTATTTCTAGTTCGCGCGCGCGGGGCGGCCCCTGGGGGTCTCCGGACGAAAAGTACCCCGGCAAGGTCCCGGCAAGTCCCCGGCAAGGTCCCGGCAAGTCCCCGGCAAGGTCCCGGCAAGGTCGGGCCAGAGATGCCGGAGCCCTGTTACAGGGCCCCAGGACGGGCCAAGAGGTCCCCAAGAAGCCTCCAAGACGGTCCAAGAGGGCCCCGAGACGGCCAAAGATCGCCCGAAGACGCCCAACAGGGCCCCAAGACAGCCCAAGAGGCCTCCAAGACGCCCCAAGGGCCTTCCAAGAGGCCTCCGAAGAGGGCCCCAAGGGGCCAAAATCGTTGATTCTCATTGTTTGTTTCGATGTTTTTTGCGTTCTGGCTTTTTCGGCTTCCGGACGCTCCAAGACGGCCCAAGAGGCCCCCAAGACGGCCCCAGAACGGCCCAGGAGGGCCCCCAAGACGGCCCAAGTGCCGCCCAAGACGGACCAAGAGTCCCCAAGACGGGCCCAAGAGGGGCTCAAGAGGAGAACCGAGAACTGAAAAATCGAGCCCTCCGCCCCAGAAGGCGCCCAGGAGGCCCCAAAAAGGCCCCAAGAGGCCCCCAAGAGGCCCCCAAGACGCCCCAAGAGGCGCCCTAGAGGCCCAAAAGAGGCCCCAAGAGGCCCAAAAACGGCCCCCAAGAGGCCCCCAAACTCGGCTAGCCCACAACGGTGCGACAATATGGGCCGGCGGAATGAGCGAAGCGATTAAATAAGCCTCGGTGGCCGAGTCTCAATAATGACTGTTTCGCTCGAGACATCCTCGACAATCTGCCTCGGAGGGCGCTTTGAACACTAACCCCCCACGGGACGCCAACATGGCCCCAACGATTGGTACCGACCCTCGTCGAGGCAATGGTCCCAACACCCACCGGTTGCAAAATCTACGTGCAAGCTTCCCCCTGGGGGCCCACCGTCTCCGGCTCTGCGGGCTCAATAGTAATGAAGGGGCGACGACTTGAGATCGAGGAAGAAGATGGTGATGGAGAGGAGGAAGAGGCGGACGACGACAACGAGCAGCAGCAACAGCAGGAGAAGGGCGACGAGGACAAGCATGTGGAAAAGAGAGGAGGAGCACAAGCAAAAGGAGGATAACAAGGGGGATAATGATGACGACTAAGAGAAGGACGGGAAACAATAATTTTTAGAACGACCACAATGTCGGGGACATCTGGCGGCAACAAGAATTTCCTTGGAAACGCCCAAGACCTCAAGACAACCCAAGACAGGACGCAACCACAGTGCGGCAATGAATTCCCGCCCGGAGTTTACGGGCACCCTAATCTTACGGATGGGAGTGGTGACTGGCTGGGCCAAGCTTATACTATCAATGATACCGGAGAGAAAAACCCAATCAGGGCCATAGGGCTAGGGGGCTATAGGGCCATAGGGCTGTTGAGCCATAAGGGCTATAGAGAGCTATAGGGCTATAGAGTTGTAGGGCCATAGGGCTATGAACCTAACCTGACCACATGAGTCCGCTAGGGCCCCTACAGGAGCAAGACCTGGGGTGGGGAAAAAGCATCCTGGAGCGGGATCCCGCCCAGACCGCGCAAGACAGGCAGGTGCCTTGCCAAGCTTCTAGGGGGGGGGTCCGCCTGAGCTCTCGCCCCCCGAGGCCGCTGTCACGGGGGTCAGGTGCTTGCGGGCGTTGTATGCCATCAGGTGGCATGGCAAACAGTCAAAAGCAAATGTTCGACGAGGCGATGTGTCGCCTCTCACTCCCAAGACGACGGCAACGCGACAGCAAGGACAGGTCAGATTCGCCTCAAACGCCCCCAAAGACTCCGGAACTCAATCTTGGTCCACCATGGACACGGAGTTGCGCGCGCGAGCAGAGCCGCTAACCACTACCAAGACGACGGCAGTGCGCGAGCAAGGACAGTCCATATTCGCCGCAGAGGCCCCAAACAACTCAGCAAACAACATTGCACGGGGTTGCGCGTGTGCGTTCAGGCTTGGCCGCAGCAGCAGTTTCATTGAAAACGCCCAGGACTTCAGGGCAACCCAAGACAAGACGCAATCGCACTGCGGGATTCGAACCTCGCCCTGAATATACGGGCACCCTAGATTCTACGGGTGGGATTTGTGGCTGGCTGGACCCAGCCTGTCCTATCAGAAGGCATCATGGGGACATGATCCCGCCCATACCACGCAAGACGGGTGTCTTGCTAACGAGGAAGATGATGCGGACGGGGGAGGAGGGGGAGGAGGAGGAGGAGGAGGAGGAGGAGGAGGAGGAGGAGGAGGAGGAGAAGGAGGAGGAGGAGGAGGAGGAGGAGGAGGAGGAGGGGGGGGGGTCAGCGCCGCCCGAGCTCTCGCCTCCACGGGGGCCGCGGTCGCGGGAAACCTCGTGCTTGGGGGCGTTGTGCACCATCGGGCGAAGTGGCAAACATCCGATGCTCTTTCGCCACGGGAGAGGCAGGGACGAGGAAAACGAGCACGAGGACGACGATGACGACGACCACGGGGACGAGAACGAGTAGGGAAGTGACAAAAATCCGATGAACTCTCGCCACGGGAGAGACAGGGACGAGGAAAACGAGCACGAGGACGACGATGACGACGACCAAGGGGACGAGAACGAGTAGGAAAGGAGACGAAGAGGCGGAGACGCAGGAGGGTAACTGCACATGAAGAGTGATAAGGCCGATTCTTGACTCTAAGACTCCTGCTGCCGAATGCCCTGGAGGACAACAGGTCCGGTGATCGAGACCACAGCAAACATTCTGGAATACAGGCTGCTGCTGTACACGCTCTCGCTGCGCACTCGTTCATGGCCTCCACACTATTCCTCACCACCATCTTCCCTCTGGGGAAGACGAGACGAGCAGGACAACAGCGCGGACGAGACGGAGAGACGCACGAATCTATCAAACCTGGCCATCCGAGCTCTGGATCAAACACCTTTTCAAGCTTCGGGCTCTCAAGCTCGACATCCCCACACCCCCGACGTCATGATTTTTTCATGACGTCGACCCCCCGAGGTCTCGACCCATTCCCCGGGACCGGTTTTTCGTCCTGAGTCGTTTTTTGACGGTCCCGAGGGCCGGTGGGGGCCCGGAAAGGCCAAAAATAGTGAAAAACCTCCCGTCGTGTTTTTTTCACAACTCGAGGGCGTCTGGGTCCGTCGAGCCTTCACACCTCCACAGGCTGACGATCTCCACCCTCAAAGGAGGAGGCATGTTGTTGTTGTTTTGGGGGGGCCTCCTCCTCCTCCTCCTCCTCCTCCTTCCCCTCCCCCTCCTCCCCCTCCTCCTCCTCCTCCTCCTCCTCCTCCTCCTCCTCCTCCTCCCCGGCCATCAAAGAGCAACGGCCGGCCGAGATCGATCCCGAGCCGCGGACGTCGTGAGCGCCTGGCTCGCACGCCGGCGTGTTCGTCCTCGGAGGGGGACAGTCTGCGACGTGAGGATCTGGCAACGCGAGCCGAGGAGGGGGATGTAATGCGGGATGACGATTAATAAACAAAATGGGAGACAACGATTAAAAACATACTTTTCTGCTATTTCAGCACAATTGTTTGACTGGAGGAGACCGATGAAAAAAAAAAAAAAAAAAGTTTTCCAGCCCGCGGCCGGTTTTTTCTCATCGAAGGATGTAAGGATGACTACCTACCAGACCACCCCAACCCAACCCGAAGACCCGAACTTCGGGTTGGAGGGGGTACGGGTTCCATATGTGTTCTCTCGATGTCCCCCGACCCCCCCCCCACTGGAAATGGAGGGCAAATCGAGACCTTCGGGTTGTGTTGGGGTGGTTTGGTGGGTGGTGAAAGGAGGCACATGGGGACGGAAGGTTTTTCGCTATTTTTGGCCCTTGGGGGCCCTTGCCGGCCCTCGGGATCGTCAACAAAACGACTCGGGACGAAACACCGGCCCCGGGGAATGCGTCGAGACCTCGGGGGGTCGACGTCATGGAAAAAACATGACGTCGGGGGTCTGGGTGGGGCGGAGGGCAACCTCTGCACCTGCGCTGCACACCTCCCGCAGGTCCTCTCGCCGAGGGGCGCCCTCGTCGGCAGATGCGGCGGGGTGACCGCCCGGGCGGCCGTGCCGCCCTCGGCGCCGCCCCCGCCGAGCGGCCACCTCGCGGGCGGCGGCGGCGGGGTGACAGCTCCGAGGAAGGGGCTGTTCTCGACGTCCTTGAAGGGGCCCAAGGACACACAAATAAATACACACAAATAAAATAATTCTCCATATTTCCCCATATTTTCTGGGTTTTTGTCTTCCCCCCCACTTCCCATATTTTCCCATATCTTCTGGGGGATCGAGGATTCATTGTGTCTGTGTGCTTCTTTTCCTCCTGACTCCTCCAGGCACCGCGCGCTCCGAGCCGCGGCCCCCTCGCCAACGGCCCGCCTCCATCGCGCGAAGAGGCGCGACAGCCGCGGCCTCCTCGGGCGCACCCTGGACAGGGCGCTCTCCAGGCGGGAGGCGGCCCACCAGTTCTGCCACACCCAGAGGGCGACCCGGACCGGCCGCGCGATGCACCTGCAGCCCCTCAGCCTGGCCCGCTTCAGGCAGCACCTCCGCCAGGCCGCCTGGGGAGCGACCCGGGTGCACTAGCCCCTCCCCCCGCCCGAAGGAGGGAGTCCCAGACCCCCGACGTCATGATTTTTTCATGAAGTCGACCCCCCGAGGTCTCGACCCATTCCCCGGGACCGGTTTTTCGTCCTGAGTCGTTTCTTGACGGTCCCGAGGGCCGGTAAGGGCCCCCAAGGGCCAAAAACAGCGAACAACCTCCCGTCGTGATTTTTTCATAGCTCGAGGGGGGTCTGGGGTGGGAGAGGACATGGGACAGGGGACGGGGGCAGGATGAGGGCAGGAGCCCACGCACGAGCGACCTCCAGCAAGGAGCGACCCTCGGTGCGAGGCGCTCGGGTGGCGCGGGGAGGGGCCAGACCCGAGCGCACAGGCCGCTGCTGTCGCAGCGCACCTGGCCATCTGGGGCGTACCCGCAGCAAACGGGTCACCCTTGAAGGGGCCCCAGGACACACAAATAAATGCACACAAATAAAAGTATTCCCCATATTTTCCCACATGTTCTGGGTTTTTGTCTGCCCGCCCAATTCCCATATTTCCTATATTCTCTTGGGGATCGACGATTCATTGTGTCTCTGTGTGTTCTTTCCCCTCCTGAAGCAAACAGGTCACCCTGGCGAAAGGTCACTCTTGTACGTGCAGCCGAGGGGGGGGGTGCTGGGTACCCAGACCCCCGACGTCATGATTTTTTCATGACGTCGACCCCCCGAGGCCTCGACCCATTCCCGGGGACCGGTTTGTCGTCCTGAGTCGTTTTTTGACGCTCCCGAGGCCCGGTGAGGGCCCCCAGAGGCCAAAAATAGTGAAAAACCTCCCGTCGTGATTTTTTCATAACTCGAGGGGGTCTGGGTGCGCGGCGTTTGCTCCCGGCTGCCAACGACGTCTGCAGGCGTCCTGCGGCTCCCCGGGCGCTCAGGTACAGGTCGGCCCTGCGCAGGCCGGCAGCCCGCGCGGCACTCTGGCGCCACGGCCCCAGGAACCACCTCTGCAGCCTGCGGCGGTTGCGCGCCTCCGCCACCCTCTCGAGGTGGCGGCAGAGGCCTCAGCGGCACGCCCTCCCCCCAGCCAGGACCGACGCCGAAGTCCCGATCCTGGACCCGGCTGGCCCGACTCATCCCAGAGCGCGGAGCACCCTGCTGATCAAGGGTCCGATCGACCGTCCCGATCTCGGTCGGTCGACGGATCGGCCAGACCATCGGCCGATCTCGATGCCATGAGATACTGCATGCAGGAAGCGACACTGTACAATACTCCCTGCGGTAGATGGAGAATTACTCCCTGCGGGAGGCAATGTGAGACTCCTTGTGGGAGACAGCATAATACTCCCTGCGGGAGGCGGGAGGCAACACAATACCAGATCGAGCCCCGCTCGACGGAACAGGGCCTCCTGAGGCAAGGACAGGCGTGCTGCTGCCACAGGCGGAACGCACTGCCCGATGCCTTCAAACACACCTTCGACGTAAGCTCCTCTGCACCGTGCCCCGACTTCCCCGACTGATCCGAAAGCGTCAAGCTCTCGCCAGAGCAGTGCCAGACTTCGAACGCCCGGCGCTGCAAGTCCCAAGATCGACGCTGCGACATGTCGAAAAGCAGCTGCCGGGACTGCGCCACAGCAGCCTGGGGGAATGGGGGCGGGAGCGAGGAGGTTGGCAGGAACGAAGGAAGGAATGAAGGAGGAAGACTGAGGAGGAGGAGGAGGAGGAGGAGGAGGAGGAGGAGGAGGAGGAGGAGATGGAGGAGGAAGATGAGGAGGAGGACGAGGAGGAGGAGGAGGAGCAGGAGGAGGAGGAGGAGGAGGAGGAGGAGGAGGAGGAGGAGGAGGAGGAGGAGGGAGGAGGGAGTGGAGGAGGATGAGGAGGAATGAGGAGGAGGAGACTGAGGAGGAGGAGGAGGAGGAGGAGGAGGAGGGGAGGAGGAGAATGATGAGGAGGAGGAGGCGGAGGAGGAGGAATAAGGAGGAGGAGGGCGGAGGAGAATGCGGGGGGAATGAGGAGATGGAGGAGGAGAGGAGGCGGAGGCGGAGGGGAGGAGGAGGAGGAGAGGAGGAGGTAGGAGAGGGAGAGGAGGAGGAATGAGAGGAGGAATGAAGCGGAGGAGGAGAGGAGGAGGCAGGGAGGATGAGGAATAGGAGAGAGAGAAGGAGGAGGAAGCGGAGGAGGAGGAGGGGAGGAGGAGGAGGAGGAGGAGGAATGAGAATATGGAACGAGGAGGAGGAGGAGGAGGAGGAGGGGAGGAGGAGGAGGAGGAGGGATGAGGAGGAGGAGGGATTACGTTAGGAGATGGAGGAGGAGGCTGAGGAGGAGGAGGAAGAGATGGAGGAGGAAGAGGAGGGGAGGAATTAAGAAGGGGGAGGAGGGGAGGAGGAGGAGGAGGAGGAGGAGAGGAGAGAGGAGGAGGCGGAGGGGTGGAGGAGGAGGAGGAGGAGGAGGAGGAGGAGGAGGAGGAGGAGGATGAGGAGGGAGGAGGAGGAGGAGGAGAGAGGAGGAATATGGAACGAGAGGGAGGAGGCGGAGGAGAGGGGAGGAGGAGGAGGAGGAGGATGAGGAGGAGGAGGAGACGAGGAGAGGAAGGAGGAGGAGGATGAGGAGAAAGGAGGAGGAGGAGGAGGACGAGGAGGAGGAAGAGGAGGGGGAGGAATGATGATGATGATGATGATGATGATGATGATGATGATGATGATGATGAGGAGGAGGAGGAGGAGGAGGAGGAGGAGGAGGAGGAGGAGAAGGAGGAGGAGGGGGAGGACTGTGGAGGAGAGGAGCGGCCTGCCAATTCAGCACGCATACTCTCACCAGGCCCTGCCGCTGCCCGAGATGGTCCTGCCGATCGGGAAGGGCTGGGCCGTCGCCACAGCGACGCCAGGCTCCGAATGCCCGCTGCTGCAGGCACCAGGATCGCCGCCGAGACACGTCGAGGAATAGCTGCCGGGACTGCATCACGGCAGCCTCGCGGAGGGCGAGGAGCGCGAAGGAGAGAGGCAGGCAGGCAGGCAGGCAGGCAGGCAGGCAGGCAGGCAGGCAAGCAAGCAGGCAGGAGGAGCCTGCCACGCCAACACGAACATCTTGGCCAAGCACACCGCAATCTGGCTCTGCTGCCGCCGGAGCTGGGACCCCCGCTTCGCGCCTGCTGCGGAAGGTAAAACGTATGTTTTTGGAGGCTCGCGACCCTTTGGGCCTCTCCTCCCTCCTTTCCCCCTCTCCTCCCCTCCTGCTTTTCCCTGCTTCCTTCATCCGTTCCTCCTCGTTCTCCTCCTCCTCCCCCCTTCCTCATCCTCGTCCTCCATCCTCCTCCCTCCTCCTCTTCCTCCTCCTCCTCCTCCTCGTCCTCCTCCTCCTCCTCCTCCTCCTCCTCCTCCTCCTCCCTCCTCGCTTGCCTGCGCCGTCCTTCCTCCCTCAGCCCCTCCCTCTTGACACGGGTCCTGAGGGAAACGGGTCTTGAAGTCTTAGGACCTGGACCCCAAGGGGGGGTCCCAGGACTATCTCTTCATCCCGAGTTGCCCTCCGTCGGCAACGCATCGGCTATACGCAAGAGTGACCCTCAATAAGAGTGACCTCTGGTGCGCGGCTTTGGGGGGGACGCGGGGAGGCCAAATCCAGGCGCGCTAGCCGCTGCTACCGCTTCGCGCTCAGCCATCTGGGGGCCCATCTGCGCCCGCACCAAGGGCCACTCCAGCGAAAGGTCACTCTCACATCTAGTCGAACGGAGCCCTCGGAGGGCCCCAGGACCTCAGGACTCCCGGTCCCTTCAATCGGGGATGGACAGACCCCTCTTTAGCAAAACGTGGTTTAGTGAAAACGACCCGAGGCCCAAACCTGGCGGGCGCAGGCCTGGAAAATCACGGCCACGGCGCCCTCCCGAGAACCGAAAACGGACAATCCACTCATCGACGTGTCACCGTTGGGGACTCTGTCCACCCCCGACTCGAGGCGAGCCCTCCCCCACTTCAGGACCCCCGTGCTCGCCCGCCGCCCAAGGACGGCGATGAACAAACTCCAGGACCCTCTTCCCCTAGGACTCCCGGCCCCTTCAGGGCGAGCCCCCCCTCCCCCCCTGAAGGGGCCCCAGGACACACATAGAACACACACAAATAGCAGCATTCCCCTATATTTTACCCTATGTTGGGGGGTTTCTGTCTTCCCCCCCCCACACTGCCCATATTTTCCCATATCTTCTGGGGAATCGACGATTGATTGTGTCTGTGTGTTTCTTTCCCTCCTGACCCCCCCCCACTTCGGGACCCCCGTGCTCGCCCGCCGCCCAAGGACGGCGCTAAACCAACTCCAGGGCCCTCTTCCCCTAGGACTCCCGGCCCCTTCAGGGCGAGCCCCCCCCCACTTCGGGACCCTCGCGCTCGCCCGCCGCCCCGCCCTGCCCGCCCCGGCTCGCCGCGGGGGGCCGGCGGGGGAGGCGCGCCCGCGGCAGCGGGCGGGCCGCCGCCGCTGTGTCGGCTGGGCGCGCGAGCTCCACGGGCTCCTCCATCTCCTCCTCCTCCTCCTCCTCCTCCTCCTCCTCCTCCTTCATCTCCTCCTCCTCCTCCTCCTCCTCCTCCTCCTCCTCCTCCCAACTTCGCGCTCCGCGCTGCGCGAGGCGCGAGGTGCGAACAGCTTCGCGCTCTCGCGCCGCCCCCCAAAGGGGAGAGGAGGAGGGCGAGGAGGAGGGGGAGGGGAGGAGGAACGAGGCCCGCGAGGCGCGAAGCGCGACGAACCTCGCGCCCTCGTGGGAGCTTTTGAGCTCGAGGGCCACGGTCTGGCGCCGACGCGAAGGTTAACGCGACGCTGCCGTGTATCGCCGCCAGGACGGCAACGATGTCGGGATGCGATCGACCCGCGATACGGTACATGGATAGACTGTTGCACCACCTGATGCCTTCCAAGACTGTAGGGCCCATTTGCAGCGGATATTCGTTTCCCACTCTCCCGCTCCCCCGATCTTGATAATGGGTTCCGCCAAGGCTGGTCCAAACAGCTGGGTGGTGCAACATTCTGCCGGACGCCCTGGCAACGGGAATCCAAGCGATTTGCGCTATCCCCCCGATACCGAGACTGGGAGGACGGGTTGAGGGAAACAATTAAGCAACGCTCCCCCCTCCCCCGCAATTCAAAGTTGACAGGTTTTCGCAAGACCGCTCGGAGGCCCCAAATCGGAAGATCCGAAACCGACATTTGCATTTGGGGGGAGAGGAGGGGGGGGAGGTTCAGACCATATGGTCTGCATGAGTGTTGCTTACTTGTTTCTGACACCTGAAGGGGGGGGGCAGTGCACAGTGTCCCCGGAAGTCTGGAGCATCTGGCGGGGGCGACGCGGGCAACGTCCCCGAGGCCCCCGGGCCTTCACGCCAGAGCTCGAGCACGGGCCGCAGCCGCGCCAGGAGCCCCCCGCGGGCGGCGGGCGGGTCCTGACGGTGGGGGGCGAGGGGAGGAGGAGGAGGAGGAGGAGGAGGAGGAGGAGGAGGAGGAGGAAGGAGGGAGGAGGAAGGTGGAGGAGGAGGAGGAGGAGGAGGGGGAGGAGGACGAGAGGACGAGGAGGAGGAGGAGGAGGAGGAGGTCGGAATGCGCAGTCTCAAGGGTGGCTGGTCACTAGATGTGAAACTTACCGCGTCGACGAGGGTTCTCGAACAGACGATGCGCAAGCATAAACTGCCGATCTTCTTATCGGCCACGCGGCCAGGACATAAGGAAATTAGGGAGGAGGAGTAGGAGGAGGAAGAGGAGGAGGAGGAGGACCAGTGCAAACCCAAGAGTCATCAACGATGTTGGAATTAACCCTCCCTCCAAGCTCCCTCTTCAGAGGCCCCTACAACGGCTCATTTCCATTGAGGGAACGGCCTCGTTGGAAGACAACCGTTTGAAGACCTTAAAGCATGCCAAAACATGGTTCTCGGGATTTCCACGCCACGGCTCAACCAGACTGCTGCGTCCTCACGATCTGGAATCGTGCCAGAACGCCATTTTGGGGATTTCAGCACTACGAGCCCACATAACTGCTGCACCCGCATACTCCTGAATCCTTCCAAAACAAAATTTCTGGTACGTTGACCATGGGAATCCGTGAAACTCCTGCAACTGTTGAAAATGGTTGTGCGCGGCGCTAAGGCGAGAGCCACATTTTGAAAAGAAACCGCCCTCAATCAGTGGAGCTCTTGCAGATTTCTAAAAAGAATGCACGCGGCGCTAAAGCGAGAACCACATTGAGAAAACCACCCGCCCTCAATCCGTGAAACTCTTGCAAATCTTTGAAACGAATGTGCGCGGCGCTAAGGCGAGAGCCACATTTAGAAAACCACCCGCCCTCAATATGTGAGACTGTTGTCGTTTTTAGCTTTAGAATCAAAAATGGTGAGGAAGTCTCAGGCGAAACGCCCGGTCCGCCCTAAAAACTGGCCTCGGGGTGCGACTGGGAGAAATTGTTTACAAGGGAAAGGAATGGAGGCGGACGAGCAGGAGGAGCAGAAGAAGCAGGAGGAGGACGAGGAGGAGGAGGAGGAACGGCCTTTTGCGGGATCGATCCCCCGCACTCGCTCCCGCGCGCGCGCGTTGCGAGTCTGGCGGGCTTACCTCCGCCCCCCAACCGCGGCTGCGGCCAGGGGGCGCCGCCTTAGCACGAAGGCGATTAGCTGCAACTTCAACATCACCCACCAGTTGTTGAACAACAAGACAAATGCCTTCAACGTGACCTAAGGGCTACGAGACCTACCCAGCATGGTGGAGACCTACTGGCAACTATGCCGAGACCATACACGCATACAGGAACACGGGCACGAACAGACGCGGCCCAGAAACGAGTGGGCTACAACGTCCGACATGGGATTCAACCTCGACCCGACGACATCGTTATCATTGCCATCATTGCCACGGTCGCCCTCGCGAGGGCGTCCAGGTATGGGCTGCGTAACAGGCAGCCCAAGTATGAGCACGAGCTGCGTAATGTGCAGCCGAACTACGGTAATTAGCTTTTTTACAAATAATAATAATAATAATAATATTAATAATAATAATAATAATAATAATAATAATAATAATAATAATAATAATAATAATACTAATAATAATAATAATATTAATAATAATAATATTAAAAACAAAAAAACAACTACGGTAATCAGCTGCGTAACAGGCAGCCCAGGGACGAGAACCACCACCAGTACGACAACAAGAGTACGCCCCCACGGTCGATGCCAGGCACGACACGACCGAGCAGCCCGACGAGGTAACCAAGCACGCCGTCGTGGAAATACCGGCCGGTGGACACCGATCGCGCCAATTACGACGAGTACGACCACGACGCCTATAAAAGGCACCACGAATACAACCGCAACGGCGCATGCACCGTACACGGGCTCCTCGCACTGCCGCCGGGGCCACGAGGGCTAAAAAAGAAGAAGAGCTGCGAGATCCACGAGCAGGGCTGCCAGGGCAGCCTGCTGAGCGACGTTGGCCACCAGCAGAGTTGGGGGGGCGGAAAGATACGGATGCGTGTTGCCCCCGGACCTCTCTTGGGGTGCGCTCTGACCAGAACTTCGAGGCGAACCCAGCGGTGACCACGAGGACTCCCCCGGAGGACCAGGAGAGGCCGAAAACGGAGGGGGGACAACACGTAGCCGTATCCTTTCCTCCCCCGACAAAGGGGCTCTTCTGCTCTTGTCTGGCCACGGCGAGCCCCCGGCCACGCAGAGGCTTCCCCCCCTGCGGGCCAGAGGAGCGGCCCGAACGCCGGGGCCCCTCCCGCAGAGGGACAGTTATAGCCTGACGAAGGACCCTGGGAGGAGGAGGAGGAGGAGGAGGAGGAGGAGGAGGAGGAGGAGGAGGAGGAGAGGAGGAGGGGGAGGAGGAGGAGGAGGAGGAGGAGGAGAGGAGGAGGAGGAGGAGGAGGAGGAGGAGGAGGCCAGGGAACCGCCCTCTGCGCTGCGAGGGCCACCCCGCGGCGCTCCGAGAGCCACCCGGCGAGCGAAACGAAGGGCCGCCGGCAGAGCCTCGAGCACCAGGCAGCAGCCGAGCTTGTCGAGGAGAGCACAAAGGCTCTGGCAGCAGCAGCCGCCTGCCAAGCTTCGCGTAGGAGATCGACTACAGAATTGACTTACCCCTGAATTTCCCTCCTCCTCCTCCTCCTCCTCCTACTCCTCCTTC